GTGTGGGAATTCTGAGCTCTGGGGTGTTCCTGCATCCCCCAAACCATCCCTGAGTGTGGGAATTCTGAGCTCTGGGGTGTTCCTGCATCCCCCAAACCATCCCTGAGTGTGGGACAGGAGCTCTGGGGTGTTCCTGCATCCCCCAAACCATCCCTGAGTGTGGGAATTCTGAGCTCTGGGGCGTTCCTGCATCCCCCAAACCATCCCTGAGTGTGGGACAGGAGCTCTGGGGCGTTCCTGCATCCCCCATCCCGTCCCATCCCTGCCCTGACTGTAGGACAGGAGCTCTGGATGTGTGTCCATCCCCAAACCACCCCATCCCTGGGTTGTGGGACAGGAGCTCTGGGTTCTAGGATGTTTCTCCATCCCATCCCTGCCCTGCCCATGGAACAGGAGCTCTGGGTTCTGAGATCTTCCTCCATCTCCATCCCTGCCCTGCCCTGCCCATGGAACAGGAGCTCTGAGCTCTGGGATGTTCCTCCATCCCAGCCCTGCCCTGGGTGCAGCAGGAGCTCTGGGATGTGTGTCCATCCCCAAACCATCCCTGCCCATGGAACAGGAGCTCTGAGCTCTGGGATTTTCCTCCATCCCCAAACCATCCCTGTCTGTGGAACAGGAGCTCTGGGATGTTCCTCCATGCCAGCCCTGCCCTGGGTGCAGCAGGAGCTGCAGAGGCTCAGGAGGAGCCAGGGCTGCCCCTGGGGCTCCTCTCCTGCAGAACCCTCAGGTGTGGGGTGGGACAGACCCCGTGGGGAGGGACCTTTGCTGAGCAGGGTTGGGAAGGGGCTCAGGAGCATCCCCACAGAGCCCAGGCTGGCTGGGCTCCATTCCATGGGCTGTGTCTGGCACTGCTTGGCCCCTCTGGTGGCTGTAACAGAGATCCAGCAAATGCCTCCCTAAAGCCTCATGGAATTCAGGCTGAGAACGGCAACTCAGCATTGAGACACAACTTTTACAAGGAAATAGGATGAGATTTTTTTTTATGTATTTTTGAAATTATTTCAGGTTTGATAATCTGTGGCTTTCCCCACATGCTAAATTTTACAGAATAAAATTTTAGCACTTTTTGCAGAACATCAAAATCTTAATCAAACTGTAATTATAAAAAAAAAAAAAAAAAAGGAAAAGCTGTTTGGCAAATTGAAGTAAGTTGCTGGCTTGCTACAAGGATGAAAATAAAAGCAAATTTTAGGATTAATCCTCTGGAGAGAAGCTGCCAGCAAGGCTCATTAAGGGGAGTCTGATGTGTGGTGGGAAAAGCAGAAGCCCTGTGGGCTGGCAGAGAGAAAACAGCAGAGAAATGGAGGGGATTGTTGGTTTAACTGAACAGTCCTGCTGCTGCAGAGAGCTCAGGGAGCTGCTTTGTCAGGAGGGAGCAGGACCAGCTGGATTCTGGGGCTGGATGAGTTCCACTGCAGGAAATAGAAAATCCCCGCTGGAAGCAGTCCTGGGTGCCAGCAGAGCAGCCTGGATGGCCTGGGATGCTTTTGTCCAGTTCTGTTCATTTTCTCTTGTATTTCCCAAGATTTTTGTGTCCTGAAAACCTCACAGGGACAACAAAGGCATCACCTTTGGCTTTTTTTTGCATTCTGCAGCTTCCAATAGTGGAAGTTCTAATGTGTCCCAGACTGGACTGTCCCTGTCCACTGACCAGTCCTGGTGGGGGTTCCAGGCCAGGCTGGAGCTCCCTGAGGCAGTGGGAGCTGTCCCTGCCATGGCAGGGGGGGAATGGAATGGCCCTTAAGGCCCCTTCAACCCAAGCCCTGCTGGGATTCCATGAAACTTTGGGATTTTTAAACCCCTGGAGTTTGAGCTGAGCGCCAGGGTGGGCTCTGGTCACTGCAGGGTCCTGGATGGACACTGAGCACGTCCAGAGGGGCCAGCGAGGCTGGAGAGGGAACACAAACCCTGTGAGGAAGCCCTGAGGGAGCTGGGGGGGCTCGGCCTGCAGAAAAGGAGACTCAGGGCTGCCCCCATCGCTCTGCACAGCTCCTGAAAGGGGCCTGTGCTCACCTGGGGCTGGGCTCTGTCTGCAGCAGCACTGACACACCCAGAGCACACAGCCTCGAGCTGCACCAAGGGAAATACAGGCTGGAGAGCAGGGAAAAGGTTTTTCCAGCCAGGGTGAGAAAGTTCTGGAATGGCTGCCCGGGGAGGGGGTGGAGTCCCCATGCCTGGGTGTGTTTAACAGAGCCTGGATGTGGCACTGGGGGCCAGGGTTTGGTTGGGGCTGGGCTGGACTCGATGAGCTTGGAGGTCTCTCCCAACCTGGTCATTCTGGGAATCTGTGAGCTGTCCTGAGCCATGGGCAGTGTCCAGAGGTGACCCCTGCCTGTGGGCAGGGCCAGGCTGGAGAGCAGGAAGGTTCCTGCCCAGAGGGTGCTGGCGCTGCCCAGGGAATGGGCACGGCCCCAGGGATGCCCAGCTGGGTGTGGGGCCCTGGCAGGGCAGGGTGGCTCAGGGGTGCCCGGGGGTGGCTGCAGCCCCGGTGACGCTGTGCCCTGTCCCAGTGTGCCAGGTGATCGGCATGTACGACTACAGCGCGCAGAACGACGACGAGCTGGCCTTCAGCAAGGGCCAGATCATCACCGTGCTCAGCAGGGAGGACCCCGACTGGTGGAAGGGGGAGGTCAACGGCCACGTGGGGCTCTTCCCGTCCAACTACGTGAAGCTGACCACGGACACGGACCCCAGCCAGCAGTGTGAGTGTCCCCGTGGCCCCGGTGCCCCCACATGCAGCATTGCCGGGCCCCGCCGCCCCCGGGGCTCTTTGAAGACCTTTCTGTCCCCGCTGTGTTTGGTTGGTTTTGTTCCCATCCCCCCCAGCACGTTCCCCCTCCCCATCATTTTTGCTCCATGCCTTGCCACGCCTGCCTCATTTCCCCAGCTTGAATTTGCTCATTGTTTTGTTTTGCTTATGTGTTGTTTTCCTCCTTTTTCTAGGAATCATATGTTGTCCATCCCCCACTCAGGCTTGAAAGTCCTCAAAGAGACCCACTATCCCATAGCAGTGCCCAGAGGGATGATGGGAGATGCAGCCTTGATCATGTGCCTTCCAGCATGATCATCTACTGCCTTCTGAGTCAAGAACACACTGCACAGCAGTTTTACCTCATTTGACATTTAGTTGCATGGAATCGCAATGGTTGAGTTAATTACCGACAAAATTAAACTGATTCAAAACAAACAAAACAAAACAAAAACACACACACGCAAAAAAAAAAAAATAAAAATCAGAGGATAGTGGGTCCTTTTGTGGCTTTCAGAGTTACCAAACTAATTTTTCCACCTTTGCACAGGTGCTTTTGGTAGTTTTAAAAATTATTTTTTAAAGATATATTCTAGCCTTTTAAAGGAAAAGTATAAATTTAATTTCTTCATTGCAATTTTTGTTTGTGCAAAAAGACCCACTATCAAGGAATGCTGCATGTGCTATTAAAATTGTTCCAAATGTCCATGAATTGGAGACTTTATGTATCTTTCTTTTTTATTGTTCACTTGTCCAGTGTTGTCAATGTGTCTTTTTTTTAATTATTATTTTAATTTTCTTTTTTTTTTTTTTTTAATTACAAAAGAACAGAAGGAGTTAAAATCAGTTTAAGGAAGTTTAAATGTGCCCAGTTCCAGGTATTTTGTTGTAGTTACTGTACTGTTTGTACCAGGTGTTGTTGTTGAGTGTGTAACCCATTGTGGGGAGGGGAGGTGCCCTCCCCGTGCCAGAGGCAAACCTGGAGGGATGTTTTACCCAGCTCTGTTCATTTGATTTTGCACATTACTTGTAGCTGCAAACAGTGAGCAAACAGCCTGGTGTGTGTGTCCCTGGGTTTGCCCATTCCTGGGGCAGGAATGGGTGCAGTGTTCCCTCCCGGGGCTGCCACAGTTCCCAGCTCCCCTGGAGCAGCACCTGAACGAGTCATTGTCCTGACAAGAACGAATGTATAGACCTGAACCCTGCAATCCATTGCCAATGTTTACATTTTCTAACGCAGACTGTGGAACTGACACAGATTGGGAGCTGGGGCTGTGCCTGGCTCCTGCTGCAGGTGCTGGCAGTGCCCTCTCCGAGGCCTCCCAGAGCACAACAGAGCCCTGCTACTCCTGGCTTACCACGGGCTTACTCCTGGTGTCTGTGTCCCCCCGTCCCAGCCCAGCTCCCCGCTCCCCACCCGTCCTGCAAAGGTGCACAGGACAAGTGAAGCTCCTTACTCAGTTGCACTTCAGTATTTCATCACTATGAATGTAAATTATATAAATATATAAAAACCTGCAGCTTTAACAACTGTAATCCAGCCTTTCCAATTAGTTCCATGTATAGAGAATTAAATCCTTCGTACAAAAGAGGCCGACAGTGTTTGTTGTTGTCTCGTTGCTGGGTCACACCCGAGGGCTTTGGCAGCAGCACTGGAGCCCTTTGTCCCTCAGGGACACCTGGAGCCCTCAGGGACACCTGGAACCTCCAGGGACACAGGGACACCTGGAGCCCTTTGTCCCTCAGGGACACCTGGAGCCCTCAGGGGCACCTGGAGCTCTCCAGGGACACAGGGACACCTGGAGCTCTCAGGGACACAGGGACACCTGGAGCCCTCAGGGACACCTGGAGCCCTCCAGGGGCACAGGGACACCTGGAGCCCTCAGGGGCACCTGGAGCTCTCAGGGACACAGGGACACCTGCCTGGCTCCTGGAACGTGGTTTCCCTGTAAGTGCCCAGATCCATGGTTGCTCCCTGCAGCCTTTGCCCCTCTGGCTCAGGGAGGATTGCTGTGTGTCCTTGGACTCCTGGCAGGTCCCTTCCAGCTCAGGGTGTTCTGGGATTCTCTGATTCCCTGCCCAGGGACCAAGCAGTGGATTTTGATATTCTTTTAATCGATAAATTAAATATTCTTTCTTGGTTTGCTGTGGAGCCCTGGAGGGGTTTCTCCCAAGTTCCACCCATTGGCTCCTTCCCCTGTTCCTGTGCCTGAACATGGCTGTTCCTGGATTTGGGATGTGTTTTATGCCAGAAGCTCAAGTCTGAAGATATGCACAACTGCACAGATTTTCCTTCCTTTTAGGACAATATTTAAATAGTAATACATCTTTCACTCCTACCATTAAAAAAGAATTCTTCTCCATCATGGCCACTTGCTGCCAAGTGCAGTAAATGGAGCAGCACGTCCCAGTGGTGATTTTCAGGGCTCTCTGAGGGGATGGAGCCAGGTTTGACTCCACTCTGTCAGAGCCTCTCCCTCCTTTCCCATCCCGAGCTGCTGGGTTGAACACCTGGCTCACTGAAAGCTCTGCTCCTCAGGACACTGAGGGTGCTGTGACCTCAGGCCAGAGCTACAGAGTGGGTCTGTGTGAAATATTTGCAGTGCTTCAGCTGGGGGGGATCCAGGGGCTGCTCTTCTCTTCTCTCCCTCCTCACATGCAGTGAAGCCCCTGCAGTGCCGGGGGTGCAGCTTCTCCCCCTTTGTCCTCAGGGCTGGGCTGGAGCCCCCCAAGGTCCCTGGGAGCCCCTGGGGCAGCGTTGGGAGGCTGGAGGAGCAGGCTGGGCTCCCTCACAGGGAACCCCAAACCCCGGGGCTGGCACAGCCCTGCCAGCCCATGCAGTGCCAGCTGTGCCCCATGGGCACCTTGTGCCCAGCCCAGAGCACTCAGTGCCACCTCCAGGGCACACCTGCAGGGATGGGCACTGCAAAGCTCCCTGGGCAGCCCCTGCCAAGGCCTGAGCTCCCTTTCCATGGGCAAATTGCTGCTGCTGTCCCAGCTGAGCACACAGCAGGCACTGCTGGTGCCTCAGGGTGAAGGGGAACTGAAATCCCCTGTAAGAGTCCCAGCACTGCCCTGGGGCTCAGTGACAGACGCTGGAGTCCCTGCAGTGTCCATTCCCTCCCTGAGTCCCCAGGGGGCTCTGCTGCCTCAGCAGGGAGGGTTTCATCCTCATCCTCCTCCTCCTCTTCATCAGGGACTCTCCCGGAGCTGCAGGGAGCAGGGCATTGCAGTGACTGCTTTACTTGTCTTTAGGGATATTAATATATAAATGTATATTAATGTATATATAAATATATATATAAATATAAAAATATATATCTGTATGAGCAAGGGAGCCTGGCAGTGACTGCCCCAGCAGCTGGGGCTGCCCTGCATCCCTGGCAGTGCCCAGGGCCAGGCTGGCACAGTGGGAGGTGTCCCTGCCATGGCAGGGGTGGCACTGGCTGATCCTTACAATCCCTTCCCACCCAAACCAGCCTGGCATTCTGGGAATTGGTTCTGCCTTCACCTCCTGTGCCAGGGCCTTCTCCCCTTGCACGGGAATTGTCACTTGAGGGAGGAGAGGAAAGTGGAATCCCAGAGGCTGCCAGTGCTGCTGGGTTTTATTCTTCACTGGTTTGATGTTTGTGGGAATTCCTTCTGTATTCAAGTGCTGACAAAGAATTCCCATGGATGTTCTTTCAGAGAATTTGTTCTTTTCAATGCTTGAAATCTGTCCAAGAGAACTCTAAGTCTGAAATGTGGGTTTATCAAGAACATTTTGCTTTATATTCAGGATCAGTTTTATTTAAACCTCAATTCTTTTGGAGCTTTAGTGGCTTCACTTTCTGTCTCCATGAGCTCACTGAGCACATTTTTTTCCCATAAGAAAAATGATTGAATTTCTGGTTTGGTTTTAAAGCACTTTTTAGTTCTTTGTGGTTATTGACTCCAGCTATTTAACTTGTTAAATAGCAACTTCTGTGCAGTAAATTCAGATGACAGATGACTTGTTTTTAACTCTAGACAACTTCAGTAGATTCAGGAGCAATATACCCCAGCTATGACTGAGTAGAACTGACCCAGAGGGGAGGGAACCCAGGGCTGCTCAGCCCCACACGGTGCTGAGGTGACCTCTGGGTTTCAGGCCCTTGTCCTGGGGTTCCAATGGAAATGGTTTTCTCCAGGACTTCACTGCCCACCTGGGGACTTCAATGACTGAGCCCAAGGAGGAAACAACTTTCACTTTATAAGAGAAACCAGGGGAGGAGCAGTTTCATTTCCATAGCAACCTAACTGACAGGGTCCTGGGAAAGGAAGAAACCATTTAATACAGAAAATGGGGGAGCAAA